CGAGGTCCCTGCCAACCCCACTCCCCATGGAGATTAAAGCTCCTGTTGGCAGAGCAGCCTGGCTGGGGCGTTTCGAAGCGGTGACCTTCGTCTGTTTCAGCACCTACAACAAGGATCCGGTGGCACCATAAGACCAAAACGCTCATTAGGGTCGGAGCTTTCATGGGCGGCACAGAGGGGCAGGATCCCACGAGTCTGTTAACGCGCTTGCCAGCTGCAGCGTCTTCCTCTCCAGCAGCGTCCCCTGGGCCTGGTGCTGCGCGGTTCCCCTTGTGGTTGGGCAGATACAGCTTCATTCTGGACAGCCAATTCAGCTGAGCGGTGGAATTGTTGAGGCTGAGCCATCATGCCTGGCCGCAGCAGGAGCAGAATCCCTCCCCCTTCCCCCAGGGCAGGTGGACCCCCAGCGAGGGCAAAGGACGGGCCGAAGTTGCAGCTCCCTTTGTCGGGTGCTGTTCCCCTCAGGGCTCAAACGCTCCTCCCTGCACTGATCTCAGCTGGCTGCTCCTGCCAGCTTTGCTGGGGGGGTCCAGGGGCCAGACTCTGGAGCCAGCGCGGGGAGGCGGATCAGACTCCGGGAGACGCTGCTGCAGACTGGGGAGAGCCGACCGGCACCACAAACATTTCCTCTCCGCAGCGTCAACAGAAGGGCCTTCACTTGTCAACTTCTGCACCAAAGCCGGCTCCTGGCAGGGCGTTCCCAACGGCCCCCTCAGAGCGATCCCCCTGCTGGGGACAGACCTGCTGCAGGTGACTGGGTGCTGTATGTTTCACCCAAGCAGGGGCCCACCGGGGCCGAGGGACTGAAACCAGGCAGGTCTTTTCAGTCATCTGCAGGTGGAATCGAACCAGGGACCTTAGTGTAGGAGCCTCTGAGGCATGAGCTAAGAGCTGCTGGCTGGTAGCTGGGGCTGGGGAGCAGATTCAGTCTCTCTGCATGTGATCTCAGTGCCACTAGAGGTTTTGTACTTTCAGTGCATTCACAGTGGCTTTATTATATTATAATACTGAGTTTAATCTGTGGGATCCCCTGCCACTGGCTGTTAGCATGGTTAAACCCTGGAGCTCCTTGGAACTGGCTATTAACAAGACTTCCTGCCATGGTGTATTACTAGGACTTATCTGCATTCCCTGCTTCTTGCTATTAGCGGAGGTAGCCTGCGGGACCTCCTGCCACTGGGGATCAGTAGATTTATCTCATGGGGACATATCAATGTTAACCCAAGGAACTCACAACTGCCTCCCCCACGCTTCATGAAAATAGGTATATGATTAGGTGTGACTTGAAGCTACTTTAGGCAAAACCGATCACATGATGTAGCATTTTTAATGCTACCATCTGCTGAATGTCCATATTCACTTTCTGTGCAGGGATCTTCCTTGTGTGAGGAGTTAGAAAAGTGAAGTGTGAATCTGTGTCTAAATCTAGACTTTGGCGTGTGAGCCAGTAGTGGCACTGGGGAACTGAATGGCCCAGTGCTCGAGGTAACTGTATCTGAGTGGGCTTGTTTTTCCTGTAAGCCTGGATTGTGATTGGTCCTACAAAGGCCTGTGACGCTGGAATCCATTCTGGGTCTGGTACTTTCCAACTCAACATGAGACAAGTTTGGACTTAACACAAAGAATCCCCGCCCTGGGCAAAGAGGTAGAAAGGGGGGAATAGGGGCAGTGGCCAGATGCCAGGACACCCGCGATTTACCCCCAAGGCACATCTGGGAATATCTAAGATTGAAGAGTGGGCAGGATTGGGCCCAAGCCAGGTGGCTGCCCAGCTTGTGACAGAAGACAATCGATTGGAACAAGTCTCAGGGTGAGAATTTGCATGTCACAAATAACTTCCCTTGATCTGAGTGTTTCACTTGCAACCACTTAGGTCTGACTTTTAAAACTTAATAAAACCCTTTGTTCTTTATCAGGCCCTTTGTAAACAATTGTTTATAAGGGCAACAAAAATGATGAGGAGTTTGGAGCGGGTCTCATATGACGAGAGATTAAAAAGACTTGGACTTTTCAGCTTAAAAAAGAGGAGACTCGGGGAATAGGACAGAGGTCTATAAAATCATGACTGGCCTGGAGAAAGTGAATAAGGAAAAGTGATTTACTTGCTCCCACAATAAAAGAATGAGGGGCCATCAAATGAACTCAATAGGCAGCAGGTTTAAAAGAAACAAAAGGAAGTTTTTCTGCACACAGCACAGCCAACCTGTGGAACTCCTTGCCAGAGGATGTTATGAAGAACTGGACTTTAACAGGGTTCAAAAAAGAGCTAGCTAGATTCATGGAGGTTAGGTCCATCAATGGCTATTATCTAGGATGGGTAGGAGTGGTGTCCCTGGCCTCTGTTTCTCTGGAGGTGGGCGACAGGGGAGGGATCACATGGTGATTCCTGTTCTGTTCCCTCTCTCTGGGGCAGCTGGCACAGGCCACTACGGCAGATGGGACACTGGGCTAGTTGGACCTTTGGTCTGACCCAGTCTGGCCGTTCTTATGTTACCTGTGGGGGTAACCACTGTGCGTATCTCCCCTTGATTGATAAAGGGGGCTGAGCTTATGAGCGTTCTCTGGGTACAGCTTTTACTCATGGAACTCAGATTTATTCGGGGTTTGGTCCCTTTGGGGCTGTGTTCCTGGGAGCGGTCAACAGCCTTGCAGCTGAGCTGTCCAGGAGCGAGCCGGTTCACTGTCTGTGTTGCTCTTCTGGGGGGCAGTTACCCCAACTCTTTGCTTGGGTTGGGGGGGACACCAGGGAATCCCAAGCCGGTGATCCAACCCATCACACCCCTGTCTAAGGACACTTCACTCAGGACCCTTTTTAGATTGGTGACCTAAAAGAGCCCATGAACCCCCCTCCCCCAGCAATGAGCCCCAATGTCCCTACCAACCCCTCTGCCCCCTTTCGCATGGAGATTAAGCTCCTGTTGGCCAAGCGGCCTGGCTGGGGCATTTCGAAGCGGTGACCTTCGTCTGTTTCAGCACCGACAGCAAGGGACCGGTGGCACCCTAAACCCAACGTGCCCATTAGGGTCGGAGCTTTCATGGGCGGCACAGAGGGGCAGGATCCCATGAGTCTGTTAACGCGCTTGCCAGCTGCAGCGTCTTCCTCTCCAGCAGCGTCCCCTGGGCCTGGTGCTGCGCGGTTCCCCTTGTGGTTGGGCAGATACAGCTTCATTCTGGACAGCCAATTCAGCTGAGCGGTGGAATTGTTGAGGCTGAGCCATCATGCCTGGCCGCAGCAGGAGCAGAATCCCTCCCCCTTCCCCCAGGGCAGGTGGACCCCCAGCGAGGGCAAAGGACGGGCCGAAGTTGCAGCTCCCTTTGTCGGGTGCTGTTCCCCTCAGGGCTCAAACGCTCCCCCCTGCACTGATCTCAGCTGGCTGCTCCTGCCGGCTTTGCTGGGGGTGTCCGGAGGCCAGGCTCTGGAGCCAGCGCGGGGAGGCGGATCAGACTCCGGGAGACGCTGCTGCAGACTGGGGAGAGCCGACCGGCACCACAAACATTTCCTCTCCGCAGCGTCAACAGAAGGGCCTTCACTTGTCAACTTCTGCACCAAAGCCGGCTCCTGGCAGGGCGTTCCCAACGGCCCCCTCAGAGCGATCCCCCTGCTGGGGACAGACCTGCTGCAGGTGACTGGGTGCTGTATGTTTCACCCAAGCAGGGGCCCACCGGGGCCGAGGGACTGAAACCAGGCAGGTCTTTTCAGTCATCTGCAGGTGGAATCGAACCAGGGACCTTAGTGTAGGAGCCTCTGAGGCATGAGCTAAGAGCTGCTGGCTGGGAGCTGGGGCTGGGGGGGGGCCCGTAGCTGGGGCTGTGGAGCAGACTCGTTCTCTCTGCATGGGATCTCACGCCCAACCCGCGTGTGGGTTACATCTCCAGCCTCCCCCAGACAGGTGGGTTCCCGGGCTCCAGAAGGTATCCCAGCCCCTGAGCCCCCCAGCTCCTCTCCTTTCCCCCCAGGTTCCCTCCTCCCACTCCACATGGGCTCTGGGACCCCCCCATACCCTGCTTCCAGAATTACACTGCTGGAATCTCGGCCTCCCCTTCCCCCCCCAGTACACTCCATTGGTTCCCCTGCCCGTCCCTGCCCCTGGGCATGGCAGCCCAGCTACCCTTATTTTTCCCACACAGGATGGCACAGGGGGAGGAGGAACCCTTAAGAAGGAAGAGGAGGAGGAAGTTGGCCAGGGCATAGGGGTGACAGGGCACCATTCCCAAAGAAAATAGTTAGTCTAGCATCTAAGGCTGGAGTGGCAGGGGCGGGGGAGGAGAGTGCTGGTGGGAGCGGTGGGATAAAGGCTTTGTGACTAAGGCTCTAATCTGGGTTTCCAGATGCCAAGCTCTGCTTTGGAATTCCTGTGAGAGACTCCCTGCCCCCCTTTGTGCCTCAGTTTCCAGCAGCATCCGGCACCACGGGGCCCCGATCTCAGCCCAGGCAGGGCCTACTTCTCACTGTGTCCAGGCAGTGCCTCCCTCCCAACCTCTGAGCACACCCCGGGGGCTGCTCTGGGCTCCTCTAACACACCCGAGAGGCAGTTACTGCCCCAGACTGAGTCATTATGAGCAGCTTTCACTGCTGCAGCAAAATACCAGCCAGTCCCAGATCCTCTCTGGCTGAAGTTTTATGTTTGCCTCGGTTTCACCCCTCACTCTTTAACCTGCTCAGCTGTGGCAGGACATTCACTGCCCAGGCCTGAGAGCTACAGTGTATTGGGAAGAAGCTCATGAGAAATAATGCTTGAAGAAACCCCACATGCCTGGGAGAGGGGGGGCGGAGGAGTGGCACATCCAGTGTTGTCGTGGCTGGGGGAAAGGGACGAAGCAGGACTCCTGGGTTCTGTAGGAGGAGAGTGGGGTCTATGGGTCAAAGGGGAGGAGCTGGGTGCCAGGACTCCTGGGTCCAATTCAGTAACCATGACGACAGGCTCGTGACTTTAAAACCCATGTTTAATGACCAATAACAAAAAAGAAAGAAGGGGGGTGGGGGGGCGGCAGAGCTGGGGGGAGCAGGCCCGGCCGGGCGAGGTGCTTGAGGTGGGAGGCCCCAGCGCCCCCTAGCGCTGCTGGGGTCTGTCCAGGTGCGTCCATCCGGGTCAGGTGCGGCTTCTCTCCTTGGCTCTGGGAGGGGAGTGGGGCCTAGTGGTTAGAGCAGGGGGGCTGGGAGACAGAACTCCTGGGTTCTCTCCTTGGCTCTGGGAGGGGAGTGGGGCCTAGTGGTTAGAGCAGGGGGGCTGGGAGACAGAACTCCTGGGTTCTCTCCTTGGCTCTGGGAGGGGAGTGGGGCCTAGTGGTTAGAGCAGGGGGGCTGGGAGACAGAACTCCTGGGTTCTCTCCTTGGCTCTGGGAGGGGAGTGGGGCCTAGTGGTTAGAGCAGGGGGGCTGGGAGACAGAACTCCTGGGTTCTCTCCTTGGCTCTGGGAGGGGAGTGGGGCCTAGTGGTTAGAGCAGGGGGGCTGGGAGACAGAACTCCTGGGTTCTCTCCTTGGCTCTGGGAGGGGAGTGGGGCCTAGTGGTTAGAGCAGGGGGGCTGGGAGACAGAACTCCTGGGTTCTCTCCTTGGCTCTGGGAGGGGAGTGGGGCCTAGTGGTTAGAGCAGGGGGGCTGGGAGACAGAACTCCTGGGTTCTCTCCTTGGCTCTGGGAGGGGAGTGGGGCCTGGTGGTTAGAGTGGGGGAAGGGGGCACTGTGAGGCATGACAGCTGGGTTTCTAGCCCCAGTGCTGCCCCTGAGGAAGCACTCTGGCTCAGAGCCTGAATGTCTGGCATTCAGTTCATCGGGAAGGTTGTAAGTAACAAGGATTGTGCTGCTGGTGCTGCAGCTTTTGGGGCAGCCCACCCTGCCCCTGCAGCACAGCACCCCCTAGTGCCACGCTGGGGTATGAGAGACAGGGGAGAGCCTCACTCTGCCCCTGCAGCACAGCACCCCCTAGTGCCACGCTGGGGTATGAGAGACAGGGGAGAGCCTCACTCTGCCCCTGCAGCACAGCACCCCCTAGTGCCACGCTGGGGTATGAGAGACAGGGGAGAGCCTCACTCTGCCCCTGCAGCACAGCACCCCCTAGTGCCACGCTGGGGTATGAGAGACAGGGGAGAGCCTCACTCTGCCCCTGCAGCACAGCACCCCCTAGTGCCACGCTGGGGTATGAGAGACAGGGGAGAGCCTCACTCTGCCCCTGCAGCACAGCACCCCCTAGTGCCACGCTGGGGTATGAGAGACAGGGGAGAGCCTCACTCTGCCCCTGCAGCACAGCACCCCCTAGTGCCACGCTGGGGTATGAGAGACAGGGGAGAGCCTCACTCTGCCCCTGCAGCACAGCACCCCCTAGTGCCACGCTGGGGTATGAGAGACAGGGGAGAGCCTCACTCTGCCCCTGCAGCACAGCACCCCCTAGTGCCACGCTGGGGTATGAGAGACAGGGGAGAGCCTCACTCTGCCCCTGCAGCACAGCACCCCCTAGTGCCACGCTGGGGTATGAGAGACAGGGGAGAGCCTCACTCTGCCCCTGCAGCACAGCACCCCCTAGTGCCACGCTGGGGTATGAGAGACAGGGGAGAGCCTCACTCTGCCCCTGCAGCACAGCACCCCCTAGTGCCACGCTGGGGTATGAGAGACAGGGGAGAGCCTCACTCTGCCCCTGCAGCACAGCACCCCCTAGTGCCACGCTGGGGTATGAGAGACAGGGGAGAGCCTCACTCTGCCCCTGCAGCACAGCACCCCCTAGTGCCACGCTGGGGTATGAGAGACAGGGGAGAGCCTCACTCTGCCCCTGCAGCACAGCACCCCCTAGTGCCACGCTGGGGTATGAGAGACAGGGGAGAGCCTCACTCTGCCCCTGCAGCACAGCACCCCCTAGTGCCACGCTGGGGTATGAGAGACAGGGGAGAGCCTCACTCTGCCCCTGCAGCACAGCACCCCCTAGTGCCACGCTGGGGTATGAGAGACAGGGGAGAGCCTCACTCTGCCCCTGCAGCACAGCACCCCCTAGTGCCACGCTGGGGTATGAGAGACAGGGGAGAGCCTCACTCTGCCCCTGCAGCACAGCACCCCCTAGTGCCACGCTGGGGTATGAGAGACAGGGGAGAGCCTCACTCTGCCCCTGCAGCACAGCACCCCCTAGTGCCACGCTGGGGTATGAGAGACAGGGGAGAGCCTCACTCTGCCCCTGCAGCACAGCACCCCCTAGTGCCACGCTGGGGTATGAGAGACAGGGGAGAGCCTCACTCTGCCCCTGCAGCACAGCACCCCCTAGTGCCACGCTGGGGTATGAGAGACAGGGGAGAGCCTCACTCTGCCCCTGCAGCACAGCACCCCCTAGTGCCACGCTGGGGTATGAGAGACAGGGGAGAGCCTCACTCTGCCCCTGCAGCACAGCACCCCCTAGTGCCACGCTGGGGTATGAGAGACAGGGGAGAGCCTCACTCTGCCCCTGCAGCACAGCACCCCCTAGTGCCACGCTGGGGTATGAGAGACAGGGGAGAGCCTCACTCTGCCCCTGCAGCACAGCACCCCCTAGTGCCACGCTGGGGTATGAGAGACAGGGGAGAGCCTCACTCTGCCCCTGCAGCACAGCACCCCCTAGTGCCACGCTGGGGTATGAGAGACAGGGGAGAGCCTCACTCTGCCCCTGCAGCACAGCACCCCCTAGTGCCACGCTGGGGTATGAGAGACAGGGGAGAGCCTCACTCTGCCCCTGCAGCACAGCACCCCCTAGTGCCACGCTGGGGTATGAGAGACAGGGGAGAGCCTCACTCTGCCCCTGCAGCACAGCACCCCCTAGTGCCACGCTGGGGTATGAGAGACAGGGGAGAGCCTCACTCTGCCCCTGCAGCACAGCACCCCCTAGTGCTATGCTGGGGTATGGGAGACAGGGGAGAGCCTCACCCTGCCCCTGCAGCACAGCGCCCCCTACTGCCACGCTGGGGTATTGGAGCCAGGGGAGCGCCTACGCGCTTGCCAGCTGCAGCGTCTTCCTCTCCAGCAGCGTCCCCTGGGCCTGGTGCTGCGCGGTTCCCCTTGTGGTTGGGCAGATACAGCTTCATTCTGGACAGCCAATTCAGCTGAGCGGTGGAATTGTTGAGGCTGAGCCATCATGCCTGGCCGCAGCAGGAGCAGAATCCCTCCCCCTTCCCCCAGGGCAGGTGGACCCCCAGCGAGGGCAAAGGACGGGCCGAAGTTGCAGCTCCCTTTGTCGGGTGCTGTTCCCCTCAGGGCTCAAACGCTCCCCCCTGCACTGATCTCAGCTGGCTGCTCCTGCCGGCTTTGCTGGGGGTGTCCGGAGGCCAGACTCTGGAGCCAGCGCGGGGAGGCGGATCAGACTCCGGGAGACGCTGCTGCAGACTGGGGAGAGCCGACCGGCACCACAAACATTTCCTCTCCGCAGCGTCAACAGAAGGGCCTTCACTTGTCAACTTCTGCACCAAAGCCGGCTCCTGGCAGGGTGTTCCCAACGGCCCCCTCAGAGCGATCCCCCTGCTGGGGACAGACCTGCTGCAGGTGACTGGGTGCTGTATGTTTCACCCAAGCAGGGGCCCACCGGGGCCGAGGGACTGAAACCAGGCAGGTCTTTTCAGTCATCTGCAGGTGGAATCGAACCAGGGACCTTAGTGTAGGAGCCTCTGAGGCATGAGCTAAGAGCTGCTGGCTGGTAGCTGGGGCTGTGGAGCAGACTCGTTCTCTCTGCATGGGATCTCACGCCCAACCCGCGTGTGGGTTACACGTCCAGCCTCCCCCAGACAGGTGGGTTCCCGGGCTCCAGAAGGTATCCCAGCCCCCGAGCCCCCCAGCTCCTCTCCT